ACAAGTTATCTTCCCCTCTTCAAGGTCATCGATCATCTGCAGAAGAAGTTTGCTGAACTGGGAAGCCCCAATAAACTGAAAGTGAACATGGGCCACGGGGCCAAAGCCTGGGTCTCAGACTTCAACCACCCACACTACATGGCTGGGAGAAAGGCCATGAAGACAGGTACAGGGACTTAATGATAAAAGCTGTTAGATCAAAGAGGGAGTTCACTCAATCTCACGCGTTTCTGTTATCTTGATACAAAGTCGAAATCAGTTCTGTGTTTATTGTATTACAAAAGTGTAAAACACTTCCTCCTGCTATAATACAACTGACTTTCTTACAGTTTACATTGCGATGCTTTTTCTTTAAGAGAAATCAAATATTTTGTCATGTTTCAGCTCCTGTCCTCGGGCAGATGTTTCAGGACATTAAAAACAAAGACAAGCAAATTTATTATCCAAAAGCCCTGTACATATTGTGGCGAGCTCAGACAAGGAGGAGACAGAGACCTGCTATTCCTGCCTTAGCCGAAATGCTAAGCTACAGGGAGGACAGCCTTTTATTACGAACGCCCATTCACACACAACAGCAGTGAGAGGTGGTAAACGGGCACAGCCGTCTAACTCGCGGTGCTCCGCTAGCCACACCAAACACAGAACACACAGCAGCATTAATGTTGCACACTAACACAAAAATGGTGAATCAACACCTGATAACTCTAACTGCTGTTATAACACTAAAACTTAGAACACGTTAACAGCAGCTATACAGAAAAGTCCATAAGTTCTTGGGCCAGTGGCCCCTCCCATAGACCAATGAAATATCTTTATAAGCTTTTCTGTTATATGCATATTTTTGTGGACGTTTTTCACGTATTTTCACTGATGAGATTATACCCAGTTTTGATGTGAAAACAAAAATATTATTATTATTATTAAAATTGTTATTGCTTTTTGCCTTGTTTTTTCCTCCTCGTTGTACTGTAGTCTTCGGGGTCGAGCCTGATCTGACTCGCGAGGGCGGCAGCATCCCGGTCACCCTGACCTTCCAGGAGGCCACAGGCCGTAATGTCATGCTGCTTCCTGTAGGGTCCTCTGATGATGGAGCTCACTCTCAGAATGAAAAGATCAACAGGTTGGTCACAGCTCACACCGTTTCACTTCTTTTGAAATGTGGAACAAGTAGGAACTATTGATAAAATGGATGAAATATTGTAGTAAAAGAAGAGGATCATGTTTGTCATCTCCAGATTATTTCTGTTCTAAACTTAATGACAGGTAAAGAGAGTTTTTTAAATTATAAACCATTATCATCGCTTTATTTCTCCATTTTCAGATCAAACTACATTCAGGGAGTCAAGCTGCTGGGAGCATATTTCCATGAGGTCTCTCTGCTGGAGTGATTTGATGGTGTCTCATAATGACAGGTGTAATATATGCTCGTCCTTCATGTCAGACCATAAACTTTGTGGGTTTACCTTTCACAATGAATGGTTTTATACACCCTGCTGATAATAAATGTGTCTTTCTTACTTTATTTGAGTTGTTTTTCTTTTCATTTCATGATGTAACAAGATGTACTTTTGATGCAGTGCACTGCTTACCATCATAACCGACTATAACAGGGTAAAATGTTGATAAGCTTAATTTAGAAGCTGTCAAATGTGATTGAGGCATCAGTGATAGCAGCATGACCAAAGGCTGGTACTATTTGGCGATGGAGATGGTTGTGTCAGGAAATATCAAGCTCATAAATAATGAGACTTCCATACTGGATCATTTAGGATTAACAACAACCACCTTGGTGATATTGGCCAATACGGTGTCCGTGGAAACTGTGATGCTGTTTTCCAAAGACAAGAGGAAAGAGAAGGCGGAAAGCATGTTAGGAGGCAGCAAGAGAGAGAGAAGAAATGGAGCTGCAGGAGGAATAATGTTAGACCTCAGATGAGGTTCATCATACAATGTGACAATAAGGTCCACAAAAAACAAAACAAAAACAAAAAAAAAATAAAAAAATCTGCCTCTCTATCTGGACTCTAGTTGTTACGCATGTGGTCAGGATTTGATGGTAAAGTAGTGTTTTGTGTTCCTCTGGACACAGAGGAGGTGAGCTGTTTGTAATGAAGTAATGAAATAGTTTGTAATGAAGCAGCCCTCCTCTAGATGAATCCTGTCTAAAAACTGAAATGATAGAAGTCAAAATTTACTAAAGAATAAAGGTGCAGGTAAGTATCCTGCAGGAAAAAAATTAATTTAGAGAGAGAGAAGGAGAAGATGCAGGAAGGAGAGCGTTGTAAATGTTATACAAGAACTTATGAAGACGTTCAGACATATATTCTTTTATATTCTTTAATTCAGTCTGATATATTAGCTATAGATGAACAATAAAAGTAAACTTGCCACTGTGGTGAAACGAGTTGTGAAACAAACAAGGGTCAGTTACTTAAACCAGTAGCACTTGATGTCTGCTTTGAGACATCGCATTAATTCATTATTACTATTTTTTTTATATGCCTGAAGTCCTGACAATTATAATAACAAAATGCGCATCTTATAGAAATTTCATGTTTACAGTATAATGTATCCCATAAACAGGCATAGATCAAAGAGCTGAGTCCTTTTAAACTGTCCATGTCTCTTTAATGAAGGCGGGTCAAAACTAAGCGGAAGTGCCTGCTTGACAAATGAGGTGACGAGTTTTAAGAAATTTGACGTTTTGCAAGATAAATGTACGTGCTTCACAGCTATGTATTGAAGGCGCTGTTGTTTCATTGCTATATTTTCATTTCATCATTAATGATTAAAAAAAATAATACTTGAACTCAATAGTTTGACACCAAAAAAGCAATTTTGTGGGATCGGAGGATACAGGAAAGAACCTGGCAACACAAGCTGACTTCCGGCGCGGGAAAATCGTAAACAACACAGCGGAAGGAGCTTTGATAGTTACTGTATACTTCACAAAAATGTCTTCATGTCATCTGCCATACTGGCAGAGATGTTAATTGGAGTGAGAAGAAGCTAAAGCAGCTAATAGAGGATAAACATATAAGCTTACGCTGCTACTTTCTTTGAAAAAAGAACAATAACGCCAATGTTATAACAAAAACCTCCGACAGCAGTTTGAAAACAGCCCTGTCCACCTCAGCATGGATCGCTACAATGACGTGAAAGTTTTGCTGAAAAACTGGGAGCAGGGGTTTGTCAAAGAGCACAAGAGAAAACCCAACAAGGTGAGTTAACCGTTAACAACGAGCTTTGTTAGCATGCTACCTGTTTTAGTATTATTGTTTATGAACGCTGAATGGTACATTTTTCAGGAGGACATTGATCGGGCTCCAGAGGAGACCAGAAGTGAGTGCTCGCCATCAGTATGAATTTCCAGCTGTAGTGTAATTAAGCGAAGAAGATTATGATTTATTTGGTGTCTTCCTTGCAGACTTGTATAAAGAATACCGCAGCTTAAAACAAGCCAAAGAGAACAGCAATGAGGCCGCCAATGGGCATACTCACAACCAAAAGGTAATGAAGAGGCTCTCTTTGTGTCCATCGTTGTCTGACGTTTGTGTTTAATCTCAAATGTAATAAATATCTAACATATCTGAACAAATCTCTCAATGAGGCTGTTGCTTTGTTTTCTGTCTCTGTCTATGAAGGAGTCAGACTGTTGGGGTTCCCACTTGAACCGCAGTGCATTGCCGACATCATCTCCCAAACTGACATCCCAGGACAGAGACAGTCTGAAGGCGTCTTCTCAGTATTATGGCTTAAAGCTTAAAAACAACTTGTCTTCAATCAGTAAGGTGAGAATCGCCAAACCTAATTCAACTTGTTGTGCTAAGACTGATTTGCCTGCAAAAGGACCATATTCACTTGTTGATGACCATCTGTGAGGATGATGACATTAACCAGTGGTAGTTAATTTCATTTTCCCTACATGTTGTGTTGTTTAGTGATACAAAGATAATGCAAATGATAGAAAGAATTTAAGGCTAATTTTTTCAATGATTTCTATCATTTCCCTGGATTACATGTGGACAGAAAACAATAAAATAAACTAATGAGATATTGAAATTAGGAAATTACCAAAGTAGCCATTATATAATAATGTGTTTGTTCTGCTGTTATTTATTTATTATTAATGAAGGAGAGGCCTGTGTCACTGAAGAAAATGCACCGTCCTGGTCGGCTACCTCTGGACTCCTTGAAAGATGAACAAACTATAAGAACAAAGAGCGTCACTTCTCCTGCTGCCACTGCCAAGACCACAACCACTGACTCTGAATTCAGTCCCTTTTCACCAAGGTAATTAGATCAAGGAAAATAATTTCATTTCATGTTAACAACAAGTGTTATTCAGTGATAAGTAAGTTATTTTGTGAGCATAGATGCTAATTTACTTTTGGACCAAAGTGATGTGCTGTTCTTTCTTAAGAGCCGAGCAGCTGTATTTGGAATTAAGAAAGGGAGAGTGAAAGTTGGAAATCCTTTGTACAAGAATAGAAAAGATAACATAGAGGTGGATAACTGTTTCTAAATCCTTTAATGAAAAAAATGACTTTAATTTAGTGATGGTTTTCAGTTTGTGAAAGCTTTTAGCGCATATGGATTACTTATATATATACCCAGAAAATAAGGAAAAGGAATTAATTTTAATTTTTACCCGAGATACTATTTCTCTCATTTTTATTATAAAAATTTGATTGCTTTTATTTTTAACACTACTATTAGGATGAATGAATTGCAAAATAAAGCAGTTTGGATATTGGAGAATTCAATATCGTCTTTTACTTTTGAGTGTTCAAGCAAGATGGTTACTAAGTAGTTGTTTTGCTTGTGCCACTTTAAAAAGCTTGAATAATGTGACTTTGTGATGATTTATGCGAGCCCTCCTTGTTATCACGTCTTTGCTTACAGAATGAATCCTTGCCTGGGATCTCTGGCTTCAAAGACGCTCCAACCAGCAGAGCCTGAAGAGCCGTTTCAACCATTTGAAACGTTCAGACAGGACAATGATGAAGCTGCAGATGCTGCTGGTAGCTGTAGCATTAGCAAAGACATTAGTTCACAGTCCACTACCTCTGCTTTAAGTCCTTCTCCCATCAGATCCTCCACCCTGTTGTCATCCTTATCCCCTGAGCGAAATTTAGGGGCTTCAAAAGTAGGAGCCAGAACTGTGGGAAGTGAAACTAAAGGCATTTTAGGAGATGTAAAAGAAAATGCTGAAACATCAAAAACTCAGAATAGAGGTACCGATTCTGCAGGTGGTGAAAGTGTAATTGGCTTTAACGGAAGTCCACAGATTTGTGGAGGTTTAAGAGGAGGCAGAGGCCTTGGTGCAAGGCCTTCTCCTGCCAGCAGGCTGAGCCTTGTGGACAGGAAGTGGCTAGAGAGGTGTCAGGTGTTTGGAGAGATGGGAGCAGAGGAGAAGCCTGGAGCAGGCAACCAGGAGATGAATGTGGAGCAACGAGGGATGGCAGAAAAGGGAGAAAAATTAAAAGGGGAAATGCAAGGAGTCAATAGAGAAGCAAAGGAAGAAATGGATATAGAGAGAGAAAGACAGGAGTCATTAGAAATGGGAAGAGGTAAAAAGTCTGAGAGTGTAACAGGGGATAAAATAGTCACTACTAGTGCTACAAACTCTGAAAAAAGCAGAAAAGAAGGGGTTGGCAAAGAGAAAAGGAAGGGACAGGAGGAGATGGAAAGAGGGCAGACATCACATATAACAGCTGATGATGACAATGAAAGCAGTCCAAAAACTAAAGCTTCAAAAAATAGGAGGAAGAAGAGGCAGCGAGAAGTGGTTGAAACGCAGGGAAACACTACAGAAGAAGGAGGAGTAAAAAAGAGACGGAGAGGTGGTAGAAAGAAAGAGGAGAGCTCTGACGTTAGCCCCAGCTCAGCTCACGGAGGAGCAGGAAAGAAAAAGAGAAGCAAGAGAAAAGAAGGTGATGGAGAGGGTGAAGGAGAGGAAGAAACCAAGGGACCAAAAAAGGCAAGGGGGGATTTGGAGGGTGCATTGTATGTCTTATTTTAAGCTTATATGAGATTATCTGATGTAGCTTTGCTTCTGTCTAGATGCCCCAAGAGAACTTGTTTGGAGACATAGAAGAAGAATTTGGAGTTAACAAAATCTATCGGGCACAGTCTGCTAGAGCCAGGTAGGACAAAGTGCATGTGAGGAAAGCAGAATGTCTTTGAAAGGTTTCTACATGTGTTTGTTTTCCTGTTTTAACAGAGTCGCAAAAGGAGCCGAGGGTAACTTTGTGAAAATAAACCTGAAGAAGAAATCTCATGTCAAAGGCTATGCCCTGAGAGGGATTGCTCTGCGCAGACAGGTATATTACATTTATTTGTTTGTGTGTGTGTGTGTGTGGTTATCATTGTGCATGAAAGTTTAAGGCCTATTTTTTAGGTTTACATATCAAAAAGAAGTGGGAAGAAGTGCAGACTTTCTCAAAGAGTTTATGCTTATATCATGTATAACACGTCCTTGTTATAATACAAACTGTATCCTGAGTAATAAAAATGCATTTTTTATATTTTCTTGGTGTCATAAATGTCTTCTTGGTGTTGCAGTTGTACATGCAGAAGTTCCAGCTGAAGGGAGAGCGTTTCGGTGGAGGTGGTGGATATTTTGGCAGAGGAAGATGGGGGGGCTTCAGAGGGGGTTTCAGAGGGGGCCTCAGTCGACAGGGTGACACCTGCTACAAATGTGGAGGGACCGGACACTGGGCTATTGACTGCAAAGGGCGAGGTGATGCAGGAACAACAATAACTATTATTAAATGCATATCTCACCTTGTTGTGACTCCTTCAGAATGCTCTAGACAGTCTTTAGTGCCGTCAACACGGCAGTCACACCCACAGTAAGAGGAAGTCAGTTAGCAAAAAAGATTACTTGTAGGGAGGGTGGCTGTAAAGAGAGAAGAGTTCTCTTCAAAGCTCCAGCGACGCCCTTCAGTTCGTCTTTTATCTGAAGGATGACGGAGTTGCTCTGCTAGAGTCCAAAAATAAAGTTTCAGAGCTGGAAATCAGCATCACAGGTCTGTTAAAAGTTTTGATATGTTTTGCAGCCCCTCCACCTCCTGTTGCTGACGATAAGGCGGTTGAGGAGGAGCCGTTTGAATTACCCACCCTGGAGGAAGTTGCCAGGGCAACTGGGACACTACAACCTCAGCCACAGGGTACATCTGTTGACCTGATTGCATGCCGCTCTCTGACAGAACTAGTCGGCTTATGCCTGACTGCATAGTTCCAGTGTCATAAATGCACTGTTTAAGTTTTACTTTGTGCATCATATTCATGACATTATGTGAAACTTAGTTTTATCTTTTATCTGGTTAATAACTGTTCTTACTTTACAATAAGAGCAGTTATTAACCTTATGTTTTCTACAGCTAACACATAGACTGGAGGTGTATGTTTACATCTGCTCATTAAATGAAAAAAGTTTTTAACACTTTGTTCATGTAAATTTGTGCACATTTATTTTTAGAGCTTAAATTTGAGCTGTTTTAAGTAACGAAGCTGTCAAATACAGATGTTTTGTGTTCCTAAGTCGTGCGCGTTTAGACCCTGATGCGTTTGTGTGTTCCAGTGGCAGCGTCCACTTTTAAAGAGGAGCAGAATGACCAGGAAAAGGAAGTGGACAGTAAGCGTAAAGATGAAGTGCTGCTGAATGTGATTCGCCCTGATTATGAACGGCCTCCTCCTCCACCACCCATGGAGCCGCTTTATGAGCTCACAGAGGATGGAAAAGTCCAGGGTAAGGACTGCACACTGATCTCATGAAATCTGCAAAATAGACATACAGTACACTGGCCTAAGAACTGATTTTTCTCTTTATATTAAGAAACACCTGAAGATGTTTATTCGGCTCTAAGAGATCTCGGCTATCAGTCATTTCGACCAGGACAGGAGGAAGCCATCATGAGGATCCTGTCGGGTATGTAGTGAGCATACTCATAAGCTCATCTGCACACACTCATTTGCTAATTTACAATCTCTCTGTACATGTTTGTGTGTTTCCACCTTTAGGTCTGTCTACCCTCGTAGTGTTATCAACAGGGATGGGCAAATCGTTGTGCTACCAGCTCCCAGCTTACCTCTATGCTCAGAGATCCAAATGCATCACTCTGGTCATATCGCCTCTCGTCTCTCTAATGGACGACCAGGTAAACACTTGTACACCTGATGGCTGTAGGCACAGAGCAAATCTAATTTCTCTAAACTAATGATAGAGTTGAGAATGTATTTGCTGAATATCTTTTTGTGTTTTTGTGCAGCTGTCTGGCCTGCCAGCCAAGCTGAAGGCGGCCTGTATCCACTCTAATATGACAATGAAACAGCGAGAAGCAGCGATAGAAAAGGTAAAAGGAAGTGCATCAAGAATCAGATATGAGTGAGACTGAGCCACGTTGATTACAGCTTCTTTGTTAATGTCATTGAAAAATGAACAGCCTCTTATTGGATCCATGAATCCAGTCACACTAGATGCAAGTCTTTCTTCTCCTGCAGTCCCAGTTCTTTGGCTGGGATGCAAATAAATGGTTTAAGATAGTTAGTCATACAAACATATTTATTTATTTTATTTTTAAATATTCTGCGACACTCAGATGCCCTTTTTTATGCCAGTGTGAATACAAATATCCACATATGGTCTTAAGGTGTGTGCAGATGTGGTCCCAGCTCCATATGCTCGCACACCTCTGCACAGAAGTAACAGCTGTTTTCTCCACAAAAAGTCAAAATGTGTAGTTTGTCCCTCCTCATCTTTCTGCTTGCGATTTGCCGACTTCTACAGCACCTTATCTTCTAATTTCAGGCGTGAATTAATTGACTTCTATGCTTATTTGAAACTTTACTATATCATTGATTATTTTCCGTTCATACCTTGTATTCACCTCCTGCTATTTTTCCAGGTGAAGTCAGGCCAGGTATGTCTGCTGCTGCTCTCTCCAGAAGCCCTTGTTGGGGGAGGAGGTTCAGGTTCAGGGTGTCTTCCTTCTGCTCAGGAGCTCCCTCCTGTGGCCTTCGCCTGTATAGATGAAGCTCATTGTGTCTCAGAGTGGTCCCACAACTTCAGACCCTGCTACCTAAGACTCTGCAAGGTGGGTTGATGATTCCTGGAGATCATCGTACTCTAACACAAGTGATGTTAATTCTGCTACTTGTTCAAACAACTCACTGTGTTGAACTTTCCAGTTTGAAACAAGTAAAAAGTTCTGTCAAATTTATGTAAACTGGCTTCTTTAGAACAGTGGTATCACTCTTGATTATCTCTTTAAGTCTTTAATACAGTGCTTGTTTGTAGGTGTTACGAGAGCGTCTGGGAGTACGATGCTTGCTAGGACTCACAGCTACAGCCACTCTGTCCACTGCTCTGGACATTGCTAAACATCTGGAAATCAGTGATCAAGCCGGCATTGCTGTCAGATCTGCAGCTGTGCCTCCAAACCTGAATCTTTCTGTGTCCACGGATAGAGAAAAGGATCAGGTCAAATGAGTGTTTTTGTGTCCTGACTGACATTTATTTGTGGATTTTTAGTAGTTCTAGATCCAAGAGTCCTTCTCTTACTAAAATGAGTTTGCAATGTGTGCAATTGTCGTCTTAGGCTTTAGTCTCCTTGTTGAAAGGTGATCGGTTTGGTTGTCTTGACTTGATCATCGTCTACTGCACCAGAAGAGAGGAGACGGTGCGTGTGGCGGCACTTCTCCGAACCTGCCTTCAAGGGGTGCTGTTAAAAGAAAACAAGAAGAGCAGCAGCAGCAGTCGGTCAGAAAACAACCCTGTAGGGCAGAGAAAGAAAGAACTGGGTAAGTGTTTTTTAAAAATGTGATTAATTAAAAACTAGTAAGGAGAGAGTTGATATGGCGGGGGAACACGTGAAATATGTATGTGGAGCCTATGCTGTGTTATGGAAATCTGTGGTGCATAACTTAAGATAACATTAATTACAGGTGAAGTCTATTTCCTTCAGTCTCCATGACTTTGTGGTTTTGTCCTTTATGTATTTAGCTCGGAAGAAGATTCGTAAACCACTGAAATGGCAGGCTGAATCGTACCACGCCGGCCTGTCGGGGTCAGAGCGGCGACGCGTGCAGAACAACTTCATGTGCGGAGAGCTCAGGATCGTGGTGGCCACAGTGGCGTTTGGCATGGGCCTGGATAAATCTGACGTTCGTGGTATCATCCATTACAACATGCCTAAGGTGAGCAGTGCTCGGATCTATCCTGACTCGTGTCTCCTCATACTGGACTTGAAAATACATTAAATATTTTTTAACTTTCTCTTTTAGTCTGTTTTGGGGCATCTTATCCTGTTTTTCTTGTTGACAGAGCTTTGAGAGTTACGTTCAGGAAATTGGGAGGGCAGGAAGAGATGGAGAGCCGGCTCACTGTCACCTTTTCCTGGACCCGGAGGCGAGTCTTAAAATTGTAATATTACTGACGTCAATGATGTAGTTACAGAAAGCAGTACTGATGCAGTGGGATTGCAGTTCTTGGAAAAAATAGGTCTTTGTACACATTTGTTGTGATGGTCGACTGTGCTTAAGAAATGAACTTCCTCAATGTCAGCTGGCAATTTCAAACAAATCCAGTTTTAAATACTTTATAAATAATGATCTTTGAGGGGGTTCTGTGTCGGTGTAGATAAAATGACCCCAAATAAACCAGAGAGAAAGTGGAATCATGAACCTTCTGTCATATTCACAATCAGTTTGTAATAAAATGTTTGTGTAAGTAAGAGAGAGGAGTTGAGATGCTCCCGGTCATAAAGGGATAGACATGGACAGCACAATACTCATGTAGACTGTAGTGTTTAAGTGATTCTCAGTGGGTAATGAGAGGTCCAAAATGTGCCATGAAAATATCACACTGTTACACCACCAACAATCATCTTTCTTCTCCATTCTGGTGCTCTGTTTGAACTTCAGCAGGTTCCAACAGAACGTGTGCATGTGAAAAATGCATAGAGTTGCTGTCGTGTTGAGTGTGATTGTCTGATGATGAGATACAGTGGGGCAAAAAAGTATTTAGTCAGCCACCGATTGTGCAAGTTCCCCCACTTAAAATGATGACAGAGGTCAGTAATTTGCACCAGAGG